GCGACTTGAAGGCCCTGCTGCGTTACGACAAGCTCAAGAGGGAGGGGGTGGCGGTGCTCAGCGCTGTGGACCTCCTGAAGCACCTGCCGAGGGTCGAGCCGCTGGCGGCGGGCGCCGTCTTTAAGCGCTACGCTCCGCTGCAGCCGCAGTGGGGGGGCCACTGCGTGCTAATGGACGGGCTCTCCTGGGACGACCTGCCTGAGTTCGATCGAGTGGTCCGACTTGTGCTCGCAGGTTGCCTGGGGGCTGAACGATCCAGCCTGGGCGGGCTACAGCGAGAGCCAGCGGAAGAAGGCCAAGAAGGAGCGCCTGGCGGCCGCGTGCGCGGAACTGGAGGCCTATGAGCGCCGCCGCAACCTCCGGGAGGGCAGCCTCACGGGCGGCGGGGGTGGTGCCGGGGTCGCCCCGCGTGCCACTCCCGTCCGCGCCGCCAGTGCCCCTCCCGCTGGCTCGGCCCGCGGCGGCCAGGTCCCGCCACCGCCGCCTGCTGGAGCCCCGCAGGCGGCCATCGTGGCCCCGCCGCCGCCGCCGCTGACGGCGCCCCCTGCGGTGCCGCCGCCGCCAGCGGGCCCGCCCCCGCAGCAGATCCCCAATGCCGCCGTCCTGAACGTGGCCCTCGGTGAGGATCTCGAGCGCCAGATCTTAGGGCCCCCAGGGCAGGCTGGCGGTAGCGGTGATCTCGGGGGAGAGGTGCAGGCGCTGCCGTCGCAGGTCTTCGCAGCCATTGCGCAGGGGACAGGCCAGTCCACCTGGGCGCTGAGACTCTGCAGGCCCCCGGCATCGTTTACTTCTGAGCCCTCGGGGAGGCTACGTGAGTTCCCGTGCCAAGATTCCGAGCCTGCCACCCTCTATGATGCTGTGCCTGTGTGGCCGCCTTGCGCTCCAGCTTTAGCAGCGCCGCCGTGCCAGCATGCGCGGGTGCGCCCACAGTGGTGCCCCCCCTCGCACCGCGGGCCCTGTTGCTTAGTTCTTCGTTCTTCGCGCGGTCAACTGTGCGCCTAGCCATTTTGGCTTGCCATCCTGGCCTCTTCTCGCGCCTACTTGCGCTCGTGGGCTTCGATGGCGGCGCTGGGGTCGCCCCGTGTGCTGCTGTGCCGCCGCTGTCGCTTTACTCTTGGCTGTGGGGGCCAGTTGCCCTCGGATGAGCGCCCGCCGCTGCGTGCGCGTCAGACCCGCAATTTCACCCAGAAGAGGTGCTCGCTATATACTGGAAATGAGGCAGCCGCGAGGGCGCTCATCCCAAGGCGGTTGAGCCGTGGTGATGTGGTGCACGTGTCCGCAGTAGTAGTAGTAGTAGTAGTAGTAGTAGTAGTAGTCGTAGTCGTAGTTGTAGTCGTAGTCGTAGTCGTAGTCGTAGTCGTAGTCGTAGTGGTGGTAGTAGTAGTAGTAGTAGTAGTAGTAGTAGTTTCGTAATAATATGAAAGGTAGCCGTAGTAGTAGAAGTAGCAGAAGTATCAGTAGTAGAAGTAGTCGTAGTAGTAGGTGGTAGTAGGTGGTAGTATGTGGTGGTAGTAGTAGTAGTAGTAGTAGTAGTAGTAGTAGTCGTAGTTGTAGTTGTCGTAGTAGTAGTGGGTGGTAGTAAATAGTAGGTAGAAGGTAGAAGGTAGTAGGTAGTAAGTAGTAGGTAGTAGGTCGTAGTAGTAGTAGTAGTAGTAGTAGTAGTAGTCGTAGTCGTAGTCGTAGTCGTCGTAGTCGTAGTACTCGTCGTAGAAGTCGTAGTAGTAGTAGTAGTAGTAGTAATAATAGTAGTAGTTGTAGTAGTAGTAGTAGTAGTCGTAGTCGTAGTCGTAGTCGTAGTCGTAGTAGTAGGTGGTAGTAGGTGATAGTATGTGGTGGTAGTAGTAGTAGTAGTAGTAGTAGTAGTAGTAGTAGTAGTAGTAGTGGTAGTGGTAGTAGTAGTCGTAGTCGTAGTCGTAGTCGTAGTCGTAGTCGTAGTAGTAGTAGTAGTAGTAGTAGTAGTAGTAGTAGTAGTAGTAGTAGATAACTCCTTAGAAGTATTTAAGACCTCCCGTAGCCATTTTGGCTCAAGGACTGTGGCTCAAGCTCAAGCTTTTCCCTCGAGGGATCTCCCGATCCGATTTTGTCCCGATCTTCGCGTGTCCCATCTTTTACTTGTCCGCTGTCCCGCCGCCCGCGCGGCATCTCGTGTTTGCGAAAGCGGTTAAACCGAGGTGTTTCCGGTTCTTGCCTTCGCGAGCGCGCCGCAATGTCCGGCAGCCGCTCTCCGCTGAACCTGCGCTGTCCCAGTCCTCTCCACGGGGGCCAAAGACCACCCGGGGAGCCGGTGCTCCAGTTCGCGACCTGCTGACTGGCAATCCGTGGGAGAGGATGCAGTGGGGGGGCAAAAAGGCGCGTGTCGGTCGCGGCCCAGATTCACCCTTCGCACCACTGCTGGGGCAAGAAGGAGAGAAGGGAGAGGAGAGAGAGGAGGGAGATGGTTACATGCAGATGCCGGCGGATGGGGAGGAGACGACCGAAGAGAGCGGCCCTCCCTTCCGGCAGCCTGACTTTGACGCTGCCGCCGCGTCCGGGTCAGGAGCCGAGCCAGTGACCATGATAGGAATCGCGGCCCTCCTGAAGGAGCATTTGGCAGAGCAGCTGGCTCCCATGACCTCGATTGTGGAGCGTCTCCGGCAAGATTTCGAGAAGTTGGACCTCAAGGTGACCACGATGGGCGAGACACTCTCGAGCCGCCTTTCGGACGTCGAGGCGAGCATGATGACCGCCGAGGTCCGCGTGGACAAGTTGGAGCACTTGTGCGAGGAGTTGTCGAAGAATGCGCCCCCCTTGACTGGAGACATCGAGACCATGATCAAGGAGTGCATCTCGGACTTCATGAAGCAGGAGCCCGCCCGGGGGGTCGGGCATGCAGGCGCGCAGCAGCAGCAGACAATCACAGACAAGCGCATGATCACGGCGGTGGTTGGGAATTTGGATGGGATCCCGAACCTCCCTCAGGCGTCGAAGTGGCTGGGAGAGAAGCTGGTCTCTTTGGGGGCTTCTCCCCCCCTGGAGGTTTATGGGAAGGGCGCCTATGCTGGCATCGTCTTCGCGGAGTTCGGCACCCCCTCGCATCGAGATCAGGCGGTGGAGCTTCTCCGGGGGGCCGGGCTCAGGAGCGGAGACAAGCAGATCTGGGCGAGTCAGGACCGCCCTGCCACCGAGAGAGCAGCGCGAAGCTTCTGCTTTGGCCTCGAGCGCCTCCTGAAGACGGACTGGGCGGTGCCCTGCGCGATCTCGGTCACAGACGAGGCGCCATGCGTAGTCGCGGTGGGCGGAGAGCACGCGCTGACGGCGAGCGTCTTGTCCGGCAAGGTGCACTACGAGCGGCAAGGGGAGTGGGCCACGTGGGCTGCGCTCCACGAGCATCCGAAGGTCAAAGACCTGGCCGAGAAGAGCACGGACATCGTCTCCCGCGCGATGGCGGGCATGAAGGGGCAGGCGAAAGGTGGCTCCAAGGGAAAGCCACCCCATTAGGAGACACCGCACATGAGCACAGTTTCACCCAAAGTTTCACCCGCAGTCGGCACTACTGCATGTATAAACCCACATCGTTTGATTCAACTCTGCATGAGCTCCGGCGCACCGCCCGCTGGCGACGGCACTGCGGACGCACCCGGGGTGAAAGTGAACGCTAGCATCGAGGCAGATTTTTTTCCGAGGGGGGCGGCTATCAGTTGCCGGCGCCGGTCTGCAGCTTGGGACGTGGAACGTGGAGGGTTTCACTGAGGCCAAACCTGTCGAGCTCCAGATGCATATGAAATCATATGGGATAGATTTACTTTGTCTCCAGGAGACGCACAAGCCGAAATCGGAGTACACGGTCACCGAGGAGGGCTTCCTGTTGATCTTCTCGGGGGCGTCCGCCGACGACGTCAACGAGACGGCAGGCGTGGGGTTTCTGATATCACCAAGATTGCGCCGAAGCGTCGTCGGCTTCCGGCAGGCATCTTCCAGAATGGCTTCTTTAAAGCTGAGAGTTGTTGGTGGCAAGATTCTTGTGTGCAGCGCTTGCGCCCCCCGTAGCGGGAAGCCGCCATCGGAGAGGCATGCATTCTGTCAAGAGTTGAACGCATTTCTTGGGTCATTATCCTGTCATGGGCCAGTTTTTGTATGTGGCGATTTCAACGCGAGGCTTCACGTGCGGCGCCCAGGAGAGGAAGAAGTTCTGGGCGCACACGTATTCGGCAACCCTCGTGCGCAGCATAACCCATCTTCAAATCGTTCTTTCTTGGTCGAGCTATGCACTTATCGGGGCCTCGCTGTTGCAAACGCGCTGTTCGACGAGCCGGCGGAGAGGCGGGCCACCTACTATGACATCGGTTCATCCCCGGCGGACCCCCCCACAGAGCAACATTTTGGCCAACTTGATTTCGTTCTCGTCAGCTCGGAGCGGAGAGGCTCGGTGCAACGAGTCTGGAGCGACCGCGCCGCAGCGTTGGCATCGCACCACTTCCTTGTGCAAACCCGTGTCTTGATCGACATCCCCCGGGCAGAGCCGAGGGCCGGCAAGAAGCGGAAGGGCCATTCTGTTCTGCGGGGCCCGAGCGCTGCGAATTCATTTGCCGAAGCCTTTTGCGAGCAGATGGGCTCCGACAACGACGATGCTGTCGACGAGTCCGCCCAGCATTTGAATGAGCGGATGACCCAAGCATTCCTCTTCGCCGCCGACCGCGTTCTTCCTGACACGAAGCTGCTGCCCAAGAGGCCTTGGATCTCGTCGGGCACTCTTGCGCTCATGGAGAAACGCAACGCCGCTCGCGAGAGGGGGTCGCGTGAGGAAGAATGCGAGCTCGCCAGGCAAGTCCGGGCATCTGTGAAATCAGATAGGTCGCAATGGTTGGAAAACAGCCTCGCCACAGGGGAGTGGGCGCCGATCCAGCAGCTTCGGAAAGGCGCCGCCTCGAAGCAAGGCCGGCTTGCAAACTCGAGCGGAGAAATCGTGGACTCGGACCAGCGCGCCGACACTCTGGCACAATATCTCGCCCAGGTTCAGTGGGCTGTCCGGCCGACGACAGTCGCCGAATTCACAGACAGCTTGGGTCCCACCTTACCTGTGTCGTGCGATCCCATCACCGAAGGCGAGGTGTTGGCAGCGGCTGCCAAGCTGAAGAGGGGAAAGGCAGCCGGCGCTGACGGAGTTCCAGGCGAGTTCTGGAAATCGATTTGCACTCCAGGGACCCCTGCCTGCAGGTGGGCGGTGTCTTTGTGCAGAAAGTGCTGGGGAGAACGCGTGGTTCCTGACGCTTGGCACAAGGCGCTGGTCACGGCTATCTTCAAAAAGGGCGACGTTGCAAACTGTGAAAACAATCGGCCGATTAGCCTGATTTCAATTGGGTATAAGATGTTCGCTACAATTCTTTTGAACCGTCTGAAAGCAGGCGGTGCTGAACAAAGAGTCTGGAGTACCCAGTTCGGTTTCAAGAGCAAGCACGGGACAGCGGACGCGATATTTCTCGTTCGTCGTTTACTTGAACGTACGTGGGCAGAAAAAAGCGGGCGCTTAGTCCTGCTGGCTTTGGACTGGGCGAAGGCATTTGACAGTGTTTCGCCCGAGTCGTTATGCCTCTCACTGGAGCGGTTCGGCGTTCCCACCCACTTCATACAAGTCGTGCGTGCCATCTATGCAGATCGTACTTTCTCTGTCCGTGACGCCGGAAAAACATCCGAAGAGCATCCGCAAGCGTTCGGCATAAGTCAGGGTTGTCCGCTCTCCCCGTTCTTATTCGCAATATTGATGACCACCTTGTTGCGCGATGCAAAAAGAGAGGCAGACCCCTATCTGAATGAGCATGCATGTGCACGAACTTGTTTACGCAGACGACACACTTTTGCTAGCCACCTCCGGAGAATCAGCCGGGGCGTACATGCATGCCGTGCAACATATGGGGCAACAGTACGGTTTACAGTTTAATTGGCGCAAGCTAGAAGCCTTGGCTGTAGGTACCGACGTATACATTCTCAAGCCGGACGGCACCCCGATCCCACAGAAGGGAAGCATAGTTTATTTAGGTAGTCTGATTAGCGACGACGGCAAGATAGGGTCAGAGTTGTCGCGCCGCCTAGGAGCTGCAGGTGCAGACTTTGAGAAATTGGCTAGGGTATGGAGCCATTCGACTCTCACGCGGCAGAAGAAGATTCACATTTTTGAGTCTTGCGTTTTAAGTAAGCTGTTGTACTGCCTGCGCACTTCGTATCTTAATAAGCAGGAAATGCGCCGTTTGGACGCATTCCAAGCGCGATGTTTGCGCAAGCTGTTGCGCATTCCCCACTCGTACGTCAGCAGAGTCTCGAACGAAATCGTGCTTCAACGGGCCAACGTCCGCCCTCTTAGCAACGCGCTCCTCCGTAGACAGCTTCATTTTCTTGGTCACATCGCCAGAAAGCCAGGTGACGACGCTGTGCGTTGCGCAGTGCCCCAGCCCTTTTCCTCCCTCCTCCTCCCCCCTCCCGCCCAGAGAAAGAGAGGGCGCCCGCGAGCAACGTGGTCCCGGGAAGTTTACAGGCACGCCTGCGAAGCAGCTGGGGGTATGGAGGCCCTTCCGGCGCTGTGGCAGGACACCATTTCTTCGGCCACGGCGTGGCGTGTCGCAGTCAGCAAGTACTGCGATACCACGTGATAGTGGCTATGTGCTCATGTGCGTTTCGTACTCAGCATTTTGCTTGCTTGCTTTCGGCAAATAATCATGCTTCCTGTAGCGGGGAAGCGTTATTCCCGCAACAGTAGTCGTGTACACGCTCCCAGCTGGAGATTCCAGCCAGCGCGCCGCGAGCCGCCTGCGATGAAACACTGGGCGAACGCCCAGGAATCGGGGCCAGCGCACGGGGCGCGCACGAGGCGCGCAAGCAACAACATGGAAAACCCAGCAGGCGACTAGCGCGCCCACGAGGTTGTAGCTGCGATTGCTCAAGGCGCGCGGAGGGCTGGGCTCCTCCATTCCTCCCTCCCCAGATTTCTGACGAGCCATAGTTTTGAGTCTCGAAGCCCCAGACCTTTCGTACATATATATATATATATGTATGTATATATATACATATATATATATATATATATAAAACTCGTTGGACTGACACCATCCCCCTGGGGTCGAAAGCGTGGGAGACCCGATGGTTCGATATGCTTCGGGTCTCTGGAAATCTGGGTCCCTAGCCCTGGGTTCGGCGCGAGGATGAGCACCGACGAGTGGCGAGCCGGCCACGAGCGCCTGGAGCAGCACAGCTTGGACCTCAGAAGGCGCTCCGGCCCGCCGTCTCGCCCAGTCCTCCCCCATGCTCGTCGAGGATCGACTGGAGCGGCGAGGTTTTGGATGTTTTGTGCCCTCCTTGGGCTCGGGGGGGACGTCTCCTCACCGAGGCGGAGGAGGATGACGAGGGAGGTGAGGACGGTGATGAGGAGGACAGCTGGAGGCAGCACGATCACACCATGCAGCAGTGCTTCGAGCACCAGGAGGCGCTGCGCGCGTGGCGCGAGCTGGACCAGAGGAGGAGGGAACGCCGCAGGTCGGGAGCTCAGCTTCTGCCGCGTGTGTTCGGCGCCCTCCGCCGTGTACCAAAGTTTGAGTCCACGCGCAGAAACCACGACGTACGATGTTTCATGATTGTCGGGGCCTTGTGGCTGGTCCCGCCGACTCTGAAGGGGGATTCGGAGGCCTCAGGAAGGCCGCGAAGGAGCCGAAAAATTCACGAAGGCAGGCCGGCGGTTATCCCAGAACGGTTTCAGCAACACCTCGACTTGAACCCAAAATGAACACAGTGTTACCCGTACCAGAGACGCCTACGGCGAACCACCGCCGCTCCCTGCTTTTTGGAAGCGCCCATGCGGCGAAACGTTAGGCCAAGGTCTGGTCAAGCTATTGGACCATGTGTTCCCCGCCTAGCCGTTGTGGAACCCCTTCGGGGAACACTCGGTGGAGAAAGAGAAAGGAAGAGGAGGAGGACAAGGAGGATGTCCTGGGCCTTCCTGGGGGCCTCTTGGGGGTCTGCGGGGGCGTCTTGGGGGCCTCCTGGGGACTCTTGGGGGCCTCTTGGGGGCCTCGAGGGGCCAATAAGGGACCTTGGATTTCGGAGGCCGTCTCGGGGGCCTCTCTGGGCAGTCGTGGGTCCCTCGTGGGGCGCTGTTGGACCGTCTTGGAGGTCGGTGGAGTCTTGGGGCCATCTTGGCTGTCTTGGAGGCGTCTTGGGACAGCTTGGAGACAATCTTGGGCAATTTTGGCCGTCCTGGTTGACAGGGAGGTCATCTTCAGGCCATCTTGAGGCCGTCTGGGGCGGCAGAATCCACGGAGTAACTACACGTTCTTTAGGTGGCCACTGGGCTAAGCTGGAGGCAGTTGGGACCCTTTAAACATGTTTTAAACATTCAGAATCCAGCACGCCAGGCACCTCTTCGACAAATCAATGGAGGGCGGCGGATCGAAGACGCCTGAATCACTGGCGCCCTCTGGCTTTGGAATCGCCTATGTGGCCGAACGTTGTGGCTAGGGCTCGGCCAATCTACTGGATCATGTGTGTTCCCCAGCCGTTGTGGAACCGCTTTGGGAAACACGTGGGGGAGAAAGAAAGGAGGCGAGATAGTTTCTACCGGAGTCCCCTTGAAGGCCTCTTGGGCCGTCTCGGGCCATCTTGGGCCGTCATGGATGCACCTTGGGCCGTCCTGGAGAGACCTTGAGGTCATCTTGGGTTCTCTTGAGGCCATCGTAGCCGTCTTGGAGACCATCTTGGCCGTCTTGGAGGCCATCTTGGGGCCGACCTGAGCGGGAAGGCCGATGAGCCAGGAAGTTTACGGGCCCTCATGGGGCGGGAAGACAGATGAACTGGGAAATTTGCGGGTCCTTCCTGGCGGGAAGACCGATGAACTTGGAAGTTCTGGGTCCTTCAGGTGGCCGGCGCGATCGGCTGAAGCCCATTGGGAATCTTTGAAAAGGGCCAGAAATTAATTCAAATCCAGCATGGTGCACTCCTGTGGCAAGGCAACAAGGTGCGGCGGATCTAATGGCAGTCGGCCGATCCCGCCACCGTGCTTGGGTCGTGGGCCAGGGGCCTCCTGAAGGCATCTGAGGGTCTCTTGGCGGCCTCCTGGGGGCCTCTTGGGGGCATCCTGGGGGCCTCTTGGGGGCGTGCTGGCTGTCCCGGGGGTCATCTTGGGGCAGACTTTGTGAATTGTCAGTCCGTGTGCCCCCCCTTAGGCCTTTCTTGGGACCCCCTGGGGCCGTCTTGGTGCCGTCCTTTGGGCTCCTTCGGCACTCTTGGGGCGATCTTGGGGGCTTCTTGGACCGTCTTGGAGCGTTGGAGGACCGAAAAGAGGAAACGCTCAAATCCATCACACACCAAATCATTGGGCGTCTTGGGGTCCTGGTGGGGGCCTTCTTGGGGCCCTCTTGGGGGGAGGAGTGAGCAGGAAGAGCGGGGGGAGGAGAGGCGGCGACGACCACGAGAGAGGAGGGTGAGGCGGAAGGAGAACGAGGTGGAGGAGGGAAGGGCCCACTTGTTACTCGCGGGTGTGGGGGACGCATGACCCCCCCGAGACACCCCTCGTGGTGGGGATGGGACTTAAAGAAGGCGCTTCCCGTTTACGAGACGAACTGGTTGAGTGGAAGTGGCTAGACCAATGCATGGGATGGGCTGATTCTGCTACGGCTTCGCTCGACAAGCCCTGACAGGCCTCTCACACACGCTGACAGGGTCGGTGGATGACGGGAAGCGTCTTCGAGGAACGAGAAGCGAGCTGGACGTTCTGGCTGAATCGATGATCTATCTCAAACGTATTCACATGCATACCGTGGCGGGGCGCACGGGAATGAGTCAGAACGGACTCGTCTTTTCAAGCGTCTCGCCTAAGACATCCTCGCCAACATGAGCTGTTCGCAGCATCACCGTGTACAGAAACTAGCGTTTCGCTCGAAACATCCTCCGACAGCTAGAATTTTGGGATATCTGCGAAAATGGGCGTTTCGCCTGAGACGTCCTGCACAACATAGGAAGTCGACAGAGCTGCTTTACTGGTTCTCATGTCTAAAGTGACGCTCTCGCTCGAGAGATCCTCAGACATTGAGCACCTGCACGGCAGACCAACATTGCTGTATTAACGTCGGTTCTATCAGTGACCATTTCGCTCTGGACATCTCCTACACAACTGATATGTTCCCGTCATCGTTATGGTCATGTTTTTGAGGTGTGAAGTCGAAAAAACAAGAGCCCCCAAAGGACTCTAGGATGACTCCAAGAGCGCCTCGAGGACTCCCGAACATGACGATCTCGCTAGGGACTTTTTCAAGAAAGTAAAGACACCGTATGTTAGTTTCGAACAAACATCGTTTCTAACATCGCCGTGGCCTCGCTCTCGAAAAGCCTCACGACGACCTAAACTAGCCTTCCAAAAATTGCGATTTCGCTGGGGACATCCTCAAACAGTTGATGTTTGTAAGATCGTCGTGCTGGATTCATTTTTGAAGGCATCAAGGTGGCCCACAAGAGCCCGAATCAGGCCCCCAGGGAACCCCACGAGCGCCTTCAAGACGAGCGAGCATTGCGATTTCGCTCAGGACATCATCATCACCAAACTACAAGTGTACCAGCATTGGAGTATGCAAAAACAAGCGTTTTGCCGTAGACATCTTACCCGAATGAGAATGTTGGAGGATCCCCCCCCACAGGAGCACGGCAGACCACAGCCTTGCGGCCGACCAGCACGGCAGGCCACACCGGCACGACGGACCAGCACTGCGGATCACAGCAGCAGCAGCACGGCAGCCAAGCACGGCGGACAGCAGGAGCACGGCAGACCAGCACCGTAGACAACCATTGGCTCTAGTCCTTGCCGGCGCGTGGAATCTAGCCTCTAATTGATCCCTTCAGATGATAAGCCACCACTCGGCGAGCGCGTTCCACTAGTGACTACTCGCAAATGGCCTGGATCCCCCGCGGGGGATCCACGATCAATTACATCAAAGCAGGCATGTGCTTTTCGGATTTTTTTTTGGGGGGGGCTTGAGGCCCCGCCCGCCCGCGCCCTGTCTCCCGAATTTGTGCTTCGCGCGCCCCGCCCAGCTCTTGACTGGAAGAGGCCCGCTCTCGACCCGCCGACCAAAAAGTGTTTTTCAGATTTTTGCGAGTAGGCACTTTGCGAGTAGTGGAACGCGCTCGGCGAACCACCGGGACCAGGACCGCCTACGTCCTCGCAGGGTTCTTGTTTGAAGGCGCGCTGCGTGGCAAGGCACCCGAGCAACGTCTGTTGATCCGCGGGCGGCGCCGTGGGGGCCGCCGCGCCCAGGCCCGTTCGGGGGGCCCGTGGCGGCTGGCGGCCATGGTTTTTGGAAGCGCGCTTGTTTTGAAACGGCTCTGTTCTGGTGCTTGAATAAAAAACGCTCTGTTGTTGAATCAAGAATTATGTCGGGCGTGTCCCCCTACGGGAATTTTTGAAGGAAAAAAACCCAAATGCACCAAAAAGGTAAAAAAATACTCAAAAATAGTCCCCAGACAATTTTTGGAGTATTTTTTGATTAGTTTTTGGGCATTTTTTATTTTTCGTCGAAATTCCCCCTGTACGGGGACAGGCCCGACATAAATCAAGAACTTGGTTTAGGTTGATTCAAGAATCTGTTTCGTGGAAAGTCTTGCGTTTCTGCAGGAATCCGCGACGCTGACGTCGATGATTCAAATTTCGGGCGCGTTTTGAAGGTGAGCTTTCTGTCCCTCTGGTTCTAATTGTGGTCGTTGAGAAGGCGCCCCAGGGGGGGGAGCGGGGCACTGAGTGCGGCCTTCAGGACGACGGGGATTTCCTCGGCGAGGTGTCGCTTGCCAGGAGGCAGGCCCTCCTTGCAGACTTGCTGGTGCGTGCGTATTAGGCGTTAATTTTCAAAAATGTCTGTTTCATGGTGGTACCAGTAGATGTTGGCGCTCGGCAGGGAGATGCCATGTTTCGGGCGCATCGAGTGGTTGGAGCGGCAGGTTCTGAGCGGGCGCCGGGCTCACCTGAGCACCAGTCGAGCTGCGGATGACTCGAATCTGAAGTATCGGTTTGTGCTTTGTCCAGCTAGTGCGGGCGTTGCGCCCCCTCAGCTGCGAGCCCACCTCTGCGGGCAGCTTGCTCGACTTCGAGTCTTCCTGGCCTCACACGTCGTGGTCGACCGTGGGCACCGTTTCTCTTCTGGGCTGGCTGAGGTTGCGTTTTGGCTTCAAACTGCTCGGCCAGCGGAGGGCGCTCGAGGTGCTGATCCCCCTGGCCACCCTGACGAAGATGGCGACCGTGGTTCTGTGCGTCGGCGTCGCCCCGCTGATGGGCCACCTTCTTGTGGTCCTGTTCCTTGGCATGTCAGGCTTGGCGACCCTTGGTCTTCGTCGAGCCCTGGTGCTGTTGGAATGCGCCCGTTGCTCCGCAGTGGTCCTCCTCCTGCTGGAGCTCCTTTTCGTTGGTCTTCCTGCTGGACTTCGTCTTCCTGCTGGATATTTTTGTTCTGCTGGTGCTGATCGTCGTTGTGATGAGCATGTTGGCGCCGGGCCTCTGA